AAAAAAAAAAAAAAAAAAGATTTATTTATTTTTATGTGCATTGGTATTTTGCATTTCTGTCTGTGTGAGGATGCCAGGTCCCCTGGAACTGGAATTAGAGACAGTTGTGATCTGTCATGAGTGTACTGGGAATTGAACCTGGTCCTCTGGAAGAGCAGTCAGTGCTCTTAACTGGTTGGTGAGCCATCTCTCCAGCTCCCTGCTTTAATTTTATAGTTAGTTGAACATTGCTCAAAAGTGACTTAGACTGGGTAGTAGTGGCACATACCTTTAATCACAGTGACGCTCAGGAGGCACAGGTAGTTCTGTGAGTTCAAGGCCAGCATGGTCTACAAAGCCAGTTCCAGGACAACAAAGGCTGTTATACAAAGAAACACTGTCTTGGGGGAAAAAAAAAACAACAGCAAAACTTTGTACTGCTGTTATAGAGGACCCAGGTTCAATTCCCAGCACCCACATGGCAGCTCATAACTGTCTAACTCCAGTTCCAGGGGACTTGACACCCTCAACACCAATGCACATAAAATAAAATTGAAAAAAAAAATTCTAAACTTAGACTGCCGAGTATCCAGATCTGTCATACTTGTGACCTGCTGCTCTGTCCTCTACCTTTTGCCCTGTAGGAATAGTTAGCTCCTAAAGCTTTTTGGTCTTACTAGAGAGGAAAGTACCTGGGAGCTGGGTTTGCGGAATAATTCAGAGTCGTCTTAATTCCTGACTCTTTCCCTCCATCCCAAAATGTGATTCTCAGTTGTTATTGGTGGTGTGTTTTTTTTTTGTTTGTTTTGTTTTGTTGTTGTTGTTTTTTGTTTTTTTTTTTTTTCAAGACAGGGTTTCTCTGTGTAGCTTTGGAGCCTGTCCTGGAACTCACTCTGTAGCCCAGGCTGGCCTCGAACTCACAGAGATCCACCTGCCTCTGCTTCCCGAGTGCTGGGATTAAAGGCATGTGCCACCACCGCCCAGCTTGTTTTTTTATCTTTTGTTTTTTTTAAATTTCATATATATAGTGTATTTTGGTCCTATAATTTACAGTTCTTGTTTTTAGAGAAGCTGAAGCTGCTATAAAAGTGACAGTCATTGTGACTATCCACAGGGTACATAGTTTTAAGCTTGCTCAAAATTGTCAGATTTTTTTTTTCTCTTTCTTTTCTCTTTCTTTTTGGTTTTTCTAGATGGGGTTTCTCGGTGTAGCCCTGGCTGTCCTAGAACTCACTCTGTAGACCAAGGTGGCCTCCAACTAGCAGAGATTTGCTTGCCTCTGCCTCCCAAGTGCTGAGACTAAAGGTATATGCCACTACCTGCCCAGCATTTTATTTATTTATTTATTTAAAATCAGAGGTTTTTCTTAATGGTTATCTAGGGTTGACTCCCCCGCCCCCCCAGCAGCATTTCTTTTTTGACAGGGTTTCTCCGTGTAGTTTTGGTGCCTGTCCTGGATTTCACTCTGTAGACCAGGCTGGCCTCAAACTCATAGCTATGCAAGGGTGTGTGTTTCATAAATCAGACTCTAGTTTTTGTCACTGAAGTCCTTTTCCAGGATTTCCTGTCTGGTCTTGCTCTTTATCAAGGAGTTGATAGTCATCTATTCAGTGAACTGTGGGATTGAACTTCCACAAATCAAAATGAAGAAAGCATGACATTTATGTATCAGATTATCTGAGGAATGAACAGCAGTGCCAGAGTTCAGAGATCTTGGGCCATTCATTCTAGAAACTCAAACTGTTTTCTTAGATAATGTGGTTTCCTTAGAGTGTTGAGAGGCTCCTGTTATCAAATGTCTTGTTGGGTTAGAGCCGATCTTGCTCTCTGTTGTCCCCAACATCCAACACAGCTAAGCCGAGCTGAGCCAGCATTGAGGAGAACCTGTATTGTAGGCTTTCTTTACTGCCTTGGTCACATGTCTTACCTTGAAAAGAGCAGATGTTGCCATTTTCCTCACACTGCTGCAGAGGGGCTGAGTTTTATGGTATGTGTCCAGAATCATCTGAATTGGCTGGATTTCTCATGCTTCCTTCCTGCTTGTTTCAATCACCCAGCTTCTCTTTCTTAGTTTTTGTGTTGTTTGGGACAGGGTCTCATGGATCTCAGGCTGGCCTTGAACTCATTTGTATCCAGGGATGACTCCTGATCCTCCCATCTCCACTTCTCAAGTGCTGGCTTGTGCTATCGTACCCAGTTTACTAAACCCAGCTGGGGATTGAACCCCAGAGCTTTCCCAGTTGTTCATTCTTTTTTTTTTTTTTTTTGGTTTTCCGAGACAGGGTTTCTCTTGTGTAGCTTTGCGCCTTTCCTGGATCTCACTTGGTAGCCCAGGCTGGCCTCGAACTCACAGAGATCCGCCTGGCTCTGCCTCCCGGGTGCTGGGATTAAAGGCGTGCGCCACCACCGCCCGGCCCAGTTGTTCATTCTTACCAACTTTCTCAATAAGAGAGAAGCATTTGAGGCAGCATTGCATTTCATACAACATTTTCATGTATGGTATCTCATTTTAGTTCTCACAGCATATTTGAGAAGGTAAAGCAAATTTTGTTTGCCTGTTTAATAGATGAGGAAACACAGCTTCAGGAAATTATGACTCACACACTGCCACGAACTAATTAGTATGGAGAGCTTATCTCTCAAACCCAAATATTTTTTATCCCTAAAGATCAGGCCCTATATTTGGAGTCAAGCTGCCCCTTCCACTCTTGAAGATAAGCTGGGTTTCTAGTAATAATTAACAGTAGGTAGGAGTCCAGAAGTAGCTTCAGCACACGGGCAAATCCACTCAGCATGTCCCTCCAATACAAGGTAGTGGCTTATCTAGAAAATAGGTCACATAGTCTCTGTACATCCATTTGCTAAAAGGGATGTAAAACTGGCCCTTGATATTTAGTTAATTTAAAAAAAATCTTTTGCCGGGCGGTGGTGGCGCACGCCTTTAATCCCAGCACTCGGGAGGCAGAGCCAGGCGGATCTCTGTGAGTTCGAGGCCAGCCTGGGCTACCAAGTGAGCTCCAGGAAAGGCGCAAAGCTACGCAGAGAAACCCTGTCTCGAAAAAAACAAAAACAAAAAACAAAAAAAAACAAAAAAAAAACAAAATCTTTTAATTACTCGAGGAGGAGTTTTTGGGGTGTGCTTTGTGTGGGTGAATGTAGGCTTGTTTGGAGGTAAGATGGCACCTTTTTGAGAATTGGTTCACCTACCCCTGTGAGTTCTAGGAATTGAACTTAGGTTTTCAGGCTCATGTTCAAGCATTTTTATCCTGAGCCATCTTACGAGTTTATGTGAAACTGATTCCTATAAAAATGCTAAATTTCATTCTCCCCGCCTCCCCTGGCAGTTTTGTGTTGTTTTGAGATAGGATCTTGTATGTAGCTCAGGCTAGCCTTGGCATTCATAGCAATCCTCTTGTCTCCACTCTTCATGTTGATGTTTCTTGGTTGTCCTGGCATGGTCTGATAAGCTCATCCAGAAGTGCCTAATACTGTTTCCATTTCCTAAGGTTGCTAATGTGATCACGTTGTACACAGTAAGCATACATAATTATTTGTCAGTTAAACTTGGAAGGTAAAGAGAACAGAGAACTAGATCTGAAGTTAAAAATCAGATCTCATAGTGGTTAATTTAGTGTCATGGTACCCATTTATACACCCAACACACAGCTTTCATTTAGCTTATATGCCCAGTGCATTCTGTGTGTACATTGTAATAGTTATGAGTCAGATTGGAGGCTCCATAGGCTTCTGTGCTGTGATATTGGACCCTGATAAATGTGAGTCTGGGGCAGTCTTGATCTGCCCTATAGGAAGCTTCTGGTTTAATAAGAGTGAAGTCTTGAGCCATAGACAGCCTTCAAGGAAGCAGGCAGGGGATTCACAGTGATGGTGAGAACCTTGGTGCCCAGCAAAAATCCATTCAAAGAGAGACTCATGATCAAGTCTTGGTAAAGAACGCTAGGAACAGCCACTTAACCTCCCTATGCATATGGGAAAATGACAGTGATTCATATCGTGGGCATAAACTCACTGTTGCTGAGTGTCACTACCCAGTGAGTCAGGCTTGCAGCATTGTTCTAATGCCAGGGAGCAGGTCACCTTGCCATTCCTTTTCTGTTACCTGAGCTCAGCAACCTGCTCCTTTCCTTCAGTGCAGAATGAATACCAGACGTCTTTATTATTCTTTAGATTATCAGATGGGAAATGACCATAATAGAGTTCTTAGGTTACATTTCTGCCTGGCAGCAGTGCTCTGAATTACCTGGCCTTGTGAAATTTGCTAGAGTCAGTCTCCATGAAGGAGAGTTTCTTTGAATAACATCTGTTATTTCAGAAAGTCCTAGTGCTTTCACAGTGCTTTACCAGGAGCAGCAGATTTGAGGTAGATGTTCTAGATCTGCTGTGTGGGTACCTCTTGCTGGAAGTCTCTCATAGGAACTTGCTGCTTCACTCAAATAGGTATTAGAATGAAAACCAGTAGCTGATTGGGAAAACAGTATGGAAATTATGGAGTAGCAGTTTTTTTGTTTGTTTTTTTTAAGAGGGGTGGAGTCGGCTGGGGCACAGATGACCTTTCTGCTGCAACTTGTGGTAGAAGGGCCAAGGACTGGTTTCCTGTTGACTAGTTCAGAGCAGATCTTAGCTAGCTTGCTTATGCCAACCAATTTCTGTCTCTGGGTTTCCTTTTTACCCTTTCCTTCCCTGCATTTCTCTCCTTCCTTTTTCACTCTTTCTTTCCAATAGGACAATGCTACTTTACATAAACGAAACAGCCGGTTGGCTAATTTGTCCAACAAAAACTATGAATGAAGAGGTTTCCAAATTCCCTCCCTGTCATTTTTAATGTACTTATATGATGATGTAATCCCTGCTGGGCAAGCCACACCCCTGGCCCTGTCCAGTGCTCTGCTGTTTATATATAGTTGTAGTCAGTGGTTTGGATTGATTTTTGGTTTTTTGTTTTTTTTTTTCAAGACAGGGTTTCTCTGTGTAGCCCTGGCTTGTCCTGGAATTCACTCTGTAGACCAGGCTGGTCTCAAACTCACAGAGATCTGCCTGCCTCTGCCTCCCTAGTGCTGGGATTAAAGGCAAGCACCACTACCTCCCATTGGATTTTTTTTTTAGATGTAGACTACTCTATGCATGATCACAGATGGTCAGTTGGTCAGGGAGGTGCTAGCTTTCCATTGTTTACCATCCTTTCAGTAGCTCAAGCCTTGGCTGTTAGGCTGTGAGATTTATTTTCTTACTTTGTAGTATGACGATTTATTATTATGGTACAGATTGCTTTGAGCAACTTTTTTAAAATTTTATTTGTTTTTATTTTATGTGCACTGGTGTTTTCCCATGGGTGTCTGGTCCTCTGGAACTGAAATTACAGACAGCTATGAGCCACCATGTGGGTGCTGGGAATTCAACCCGGTTCCTCTGGAAGAGCAATCAGTACTCTTAACCACTGAGCCGTATCTCCAGCCACCCCCCCAGCAATTTTTAAGGAGTATATCCTAGAGTGTACAGGTCAGCAGAAGATTTAGAATTGTAGCTTTTCAGAGATGGAAGATAATTGTTTCCACTGGGACAAGGTAGCCTCTTAGTATCACCCTTCATGGCCACTCCCTTGAGGAATGGTGACTAGGCAACAAGAATGGACACAGGTGGTCCCCTGGCAGTAGTCTATGTTGGTTGAATGTGGTAACTGAGCCTTTCTGGGAAGGGAGCTTTTAGACATCTTGAGGACTCAGTATTCTTCAAAGGGAAATAAGTAAATTGTATTTGGAGTTTAGAAAACTATTGAGGTGATAGACAGCAGGCTATTAGTATTATTTTATTGTTTTAAAAATACATACTGTAAACTGGGTGGTGGTGGCGTGTCTAACCCTGAGCTACACCCCTACCTCAAGGGCTGTTCTTACACCTAATTGTACGATTGTACAAAGTGCTCACTAAAGAAGTACTAATTGGGGTAGAAAATTTAGTTTTCTTTTTCCTTGGCTCAATTTGGCAAGTTATGGCTCCAGAGTTGGAATTCTGTCCTTATGAGTGCCTTGATTAGTTAGTGATGTTGTGTTATGCTGTTCCTCTAGAAAGTTCCCCCTTTGTGTACTGCTAGGGTACAAGTCTCCAGAGATGATGAAATTGTCGTATTATGGGATTGTATTTCCCTTGCTGACGAAAGTTCAGCCTTGAAGTAGGCAATGGGAGTTGATCAGCTAGCTCTTATTTCATGCAGCCCAGCAGAGTACAGAATAGACTGGGGACAGTTTGCTAGGTAACTTCCTTGACGGTGTCTCAGGCTTGGTGAGCTGTTGTGCTCAGCCTGGCTTAACTAAACTCTAGCCAACACTCTGCTTCTGCCCCTCTCACCTGGTAGCCCACAGGTAGGACTGTGTGGTCAAGTGGGAAGCCTTGCATTGCTTAATAAGCTGAGAGCTCCTGAAGCTTTTTTTAAACATAGCTTTCTTTTATGTCTTTAGTAGCTTTTTATTTGTGTATAATTTCAAACATGCAGGAAAAGAACCTAATAAGACTAGTACAAGGAACTTTTGTAGCCTGGCGGTGGTGGCACACACCTTTAAAACCAGTACTCGGGAGGCAGAGGCAGGCAGATCTCTGGGAGTTTGAGGTCAGCCTGGTCTACAGAGTGAGTTCCAGGACAGCCAAAGATGTCACACAGAGAAACCTTGTCTGGAAAACAAAAATAAAATAAATAACTTTTGTCCACCTTTTACCCAGCCTGTCAGCATTTTGCCTCCTTTGCTCTCTTCACATGGATGCATACCTACACGCATTCTTAGGAAGTGCTGAGAGTAGTCGCAGACAGCCTGTCACTTTCTTCTGAAAGCCAGTGTGTACTGCCTGAGAACAAATTCAGCATCATTGTAATTCTGTTACCTAACCCATTGTCCATCTGCATATCTGTCCATATTCTGAAATGGTTCCTGTAATGGCAGAGCTTTGTTGTGAAAAACAATCCTTGAGATGCAGGGGTTTCTCCTCAGTTGTTTGCTTAAAGCCAAAAGACATTATTCAGTCACCAATTTCTTGTGTCTCTACAGGACCAGAGTGAGGGCAGCACGAACTTCTTACTCAGCAACAATGACTTCAGAAGTGGAGACCTCGGAGGGGGTAGATGAGTCAGAGAAAAAGAACTCTGTGGCCCCAGAGAAGGAAAACCATACCAAGTGAGTGATAGCAACTGGCTGCTTCTCATCGGGAGGGTCCAGCACCTGTCCTGACGCCTGCTTGCATGCCTGGTTCAGTCTGTCAGTGGTTCTTGGGCATGCTCATCAGCCCTGAGCTGTGTAGACCCTGGGATGTTTGGTTGCACTGCAGGACCCTGTCCAGCCTAGGCTGTTCTCCTCTTTGGTTTTCTCTGTTCTGTTACCCAAGGAGACAGGCCAGATGCTGGGAGTGCTGAGTCAGTGTTTCAGGGTAGTTACTTTTCTCTTCTTAAAAACCAAGTGGTGCTAAGCATGGTAGTGCTGCACCTTGGATCCCAGCAGAAGCAGGCAGATTTCTGAGTTGGAGGCCAGCCAGAGGGAGTCTACAGAGCGAGTTCCAGTACAGCCAGGACTACATAGACAGACCCTGTCTCAAAAAACAAACAAAAAGAACAAACCACCAAATCTAAGTGGTCTTTCACTTGGGCTAATGAGGAATAATGAGAGGCAAAGCTGGTTCCTTTTACAATGTCATCTCTCTACCAAATGTGGGATCTGAACTTTGCTCTAGGGCATGCCTTTACCTGCTAATCTCTCTAAGACTCGTTACTGGGTCCTGCCCTGAATTTTTCCTAGCCTCTCATTAGACTCCTGTCATTGGCTAAGTTATTTCTTATATCTTAAAATAATTGCTAATAAACCAAGTCTCAGGATATGGGTGATACAAATTAATCTCCTAAAAACAACCAAACTAGCTGCAGAGGATAGACCACAAGAGAACCAATATTTTCTCATTTTAACAGATGGACTGTGTAGATACACATGAGTTGTATCATACTTTTCTACCTTGTCCATTTATTAGTGTAACTTTAGCCTGTGTGATTCTGTTAAATACAAAACTGGGAGGCAGAGGCAGGAGGATCTCTTGTTCGAGTTCTACAGACCGAGTTCTAGGAGCTCGGGCTACAGACAAACCCTGTCTTGAACCCTCCCCCCCCCAAAAAAAAAAAGAAAAGAAAAGAAAGGAGGAGGAGGAAGAATACAAAACCAAGATCTTGGTCCTTGTCTCATCTTCCCACACCTGGGCCTATCCACATAACATCCTGAGGAATTGGTCCCTCGTTGGGAGGAAGGCAGCCTTGTGGGCTGGATTAAGTTTTGTTTCTTCAGCCACTAGGTGGCCACAGAAACCAAAACATCCTTCATTTTAGTGCTTAGTAACATGTATACTCATGTGTCCAGACAGATTGGGGAGACCATAGTAACCTTTATGCCCTGAGGTTTTTGTGGCAGGTTGTCACATCTGCTTGCCCTGTGCTCACTGACAAGGCTCACCTGTTCATGCCAGACTGGTGTCTGAGCAGCTCCAGCTTCTAGTCTGTATCTGGGGTCTAAACTGACTTTTGACCTTTAGTGCTTTCTGAAGAACTGGAAAGGGCTACTGTCTCACACACAAAACTCATCTCTACAGAATGGCAGACCTCTCTGAGCTCCTGAAGGAAGGGACCAAGGAAGCACATGACCGGGCAGAAAATACTCAGTTTGTCAAAGACTTCTTGAAAGGAAACATTAAGAAGGAGCTATTTAAGGTTTGTGTCCTCAATCAGATGGGGTTGGATTCTAAACTTTAATAAGGTGGGGTGGCCTTACCTGGCTGAGGAAGTTGCCCTGCAACCACTCTAAGGGAAAAAATGCTGAATCTTTTTCTTGGAGACAGTCTGGCTATCTAGTCCAAATGGGCTCTAACCCTGGATCTTCCATCCTTAGCTTCCTGAATACTAGGGATGAAGATATGTGCCTCCATGCCCAGCCATGTATTTTTTTTCCCTGTATTTAAGCTGTGGCTGCCCTAGCCTAAATGAACTAACAAAAATACGTTTGCAAATATTCATTGTCTTCAAGAAGTTACCAAAGCTTCCTAGGTGTGTCAAGTAGTTCACTATATAAAAAGGGGGTCACAGTTGGGTCTTTGGAACTGGACAAAGTGGCTTTTGTCTTGAGTTACTCTTAAAACATGGTAGGTTCAAAAAAAAAAAAAAAAAGCTGGGAAGTGGTACACACTTTTTTTTTTTTAATTTTTTTAAACTTTATCTTATATGATTGGTGTGAAGGTGTCAGATCCCCTGGAACTAGAATTATAGACAGTTGTGAGCTGCCATGTGGGTGCTGGGAATTGAACCTGGGTCCTCTGGAAGAGCAGCTAGTGCTCTTAACCGCTGGGCCATCTCTCCAGCCCCATTGGCGCACACCTTTAATTCCAGCACTAGGGTGGCAGAAGCAGGCAGATCTCTGAGTTTGAGGACAGCCAGGTACACAGGGAAACCCTGTCTCGAAAAACCAAAACAAAACATTGTGGGTTCTAGAGCTGCTGGCTTGGCTTATAATCCTCTCCCACAATCTCCCGTCACCCTCACAGCTGGCCACTACCGCACTTTATTTCACATACTCAGCCCTTGAGGAGGAAATGGACCGAAACAAAGACCACCCAGCCTTCGCCCCCTTGTATTTCCCCATGGAGCTACATCGGAAGGAAGCACTGATCAAGGACATGGAGTATTTCTTTGGTGAAAACTGGCAGGAGCAGGTGAAGTGCTCCGAGGCTGCCCAGAAGTATGTGGATCGGATCCACTATGTAGGGCAGAATGAGCCGGAGCTGCTGGTGGCCCATGCTTATACTCGTTACATGGGGGACCTTTCAGGAGGCCAGGTGCTGAAGAAGGTGGCCCAGCGGGCACTGAAACTCCCCAGCACTGGAGAAGGGACCCAGTTCTACCTGTTTGAGCATGTGGACAATGCCCAGCAATTCAAGCAGTTCTACCGAGCCAGAATGAATGCCCTGGACTTGAATTTGAAGACCAAAGAGAAGATCGTGGCGGAGGCCAACAAAGCCTTTGAATATAATATGCAGGTACTGAGCACTGACCATGGAGCTTGCTCCATGAGATTATGACCATGGATGCATGAACTTGATCTTTTAGCAGTAGAATCAAAGCCAGAGCTTTCTTGAGAGCCATTGGTAACATGACAAATGAGCTCCTACATGCCCTCGAGAAAGGTGAGGGAACCAGTTAGTCATCAGAGAGCATGAGGACAGTGTAGCTCTCAGATGGAGGCCTGGTTTGAGGCCTGTGGCTAGTGATGGAAAGGGCAAAGCTCCAGCATTTGAAAGGTCTGAAAAGAGAGCTATCTCCTTCTCTCTCACTATAGGCTAGGATTGGTGAATGGGCAATTTCCTCATTTTGTAGCAAAGATAGGAAAAATATTTAGCATGAAGCCTGATTCATTGGGAAGCCTTAGGTAGGGCTATGAGCCTCAGGTAGGGCTGATGATGCAGAAGCCATTTCTGACCCCAGAAACCCATGTCAGCCCTCAGTGTCAGAACAGCAGTGGGCACTCATGTGGAGTTTTAGCAGCAGTCACCTGAACTTCACTAAGAGGTGCAGGGGGAGTTCTTACTTTTCTGGCTTGATGTTCTGATCAGGTGTATCTGGGCTCTAGCTTCTCAATGGGTGGTGAGTAGCGGGTAAATTCTGAGTCTGCCTAGTTCAGGGATGGCTCAGTTGACTTCTGCTCCTCAGATATTCAGTGAACTGGACCAGGCTGGCTCTATGCTGGTAAGAGAAACCCTGGAGGACGGTTTCTCCGTGCATGATGGGAAGGGAGATGTACGAAAGTGTCCCTATTATGCTGCTCAGGCAGACAAAGGTAAGTTGTGGGTCCTGAGCTTAACTAACATTTCTGGAGCAGGTGTGTCATTGCTCTCCACTGATGCCATGTCTCCTATTGTGCTGCATGCAGGTACCCTGGAAGGCAGCACCTGCCCTTTCCGGACAGCCATGGCTGTGCTGAGGAAGCCTAGCCTCCAGCTCATTCTAGCTGCCAGTGTGGCCCTGGCTGCTGGACTCTTTGCCTGGTACTACATGTGAAGGACCTGTCATGTTATTTGCATCCTACCCCAAGTGACCTGTTCCATCCCTATCTCCACCTCTGACTAAACTACCACCTCAGGTGACTTTTTTAATGCTGGGTTTGAGAAAACAAGCAACCAATAAAGGCAGACACTAGAGCCTCTGCGTAACAGCATCTTCTCTGCCAGCCAGGTGCACACCAGGCACAGGCTGTCACTCTATTAACAGCCAATACTCCACTGCAGGTCAGCCTTAGACCTCTGATCTGGCAGTGCTCCAGGATTTTTGCCACTTTGGAGGCCTAGGTACATTCTCTTCTTTAGTAGTGCTTGGAGTAGTCATTGCCTTGCTTGGGAGTGGGTTGCCCATACACTCAGGCTTTGTGGGAAAGGATTATGCCAACGGATGTTCAATTTTCTAGGACTCAGGGAGTCTTTTGGGGTGGAAACTATGCTTTCCTGTCTCCCAAACCCCGAGCTTATCCTGCTCATCCAGGATTTCCTAAGAAGTCTGTTAGCCTGGGCGATGGGTATACCTGCTGCTACAGCACTCTAAATACAAACACCTCACACTTCCTCCTCCCTGGCACAGGGTAGGTGAGACTACCTCCTGGTCCCCAGAAGTCTACAGGGAAGTAGAGTCCCTCAGAAAAGTGGCATGTTGCATACATCCCTTGCCTGCCTCCCAACACTCCTGGCCAATTCCTAGTACCTTATTTTTCCATGTATTCATGCTAAAACATTATAAAGGTCGTCCTTAATGTCTACTTGAACCTGTGTTTTCTTTCTTCCTTAGAAATACTTTGAGATTTCTTACTTTAAAAGCACATACTTATATTTAAACAATTCATGGTCTAAAATAGAAATGTGAAGTTAAATATTTTTATTAGTAGGAATCTATTCCTGTAAACGTCTTATGTGGAAAAAAAAAAAAAGGTAAAACAGCAGGGGAACTCTTGAAAGGTGAGCTCACCACCTTCACAGTTGAGATGGTTCGTTTTCCCAAGGCCAACTTGGTTCAGAGCCTGAGTGCCAGACTTCAGTGTTTATCTTCAGACTGTGAGGTCTCAGTCCAGTGGTGCTGTCTTGTTTAAGAACCAAAGAGCAACACCTTCAGGTTAGGTCACTAAGCTAGAACAGGGCTCCAGTTCTCAGGCTCTGCAGTCTGGACACCTAATTATGGAAATGGTGGAAACCAATGCTGAAACCAAAACCTCCCTGGCACAGAACAGCTGGGTCCCCCTAGGACAAGGCTATATATAATTCTGGTTTGGTATAATTGGGTTCTTAAACATGTGTTGTTTCCCAGGCCCAATCTCTTGCCTGCCAGTAGACTACCTGTATGTAGTCCCACCCTGTCCCTCAGAAAAGAAGGAAACCAAGCAAGACAGCAGAGGCCCAGGGCAGGGAAGTGAAAGGGCCGATTTAATGAAACTACAAACTGGGACCAGGCCACAGTTCACAGTGATAGGAGGCCATGCAGTGGTAGTGTGAGACCAGGAGAGGGACAGCAGCAGGACACAGCATCCACGTGGGCATATTCACAGACCATTCAGGAAATAAGACAAGTTTGGGTTTACACCCTGGGCAAGACTCATGTCCCTAGGACACCCCCACCACTTGTGACTTCTTCCTGGTCCCCAGCCCAGTGCCACAGTTGTCCCTACTTAAGTGCCCAATACAGAAACAAGTCAACTATGGCAAAAAGACTGGCACTTACTCCAGAGACCAATGACCCTACAAGGAGGCTCTTCTGATTGGCCCTCTGTCAGTAAGCCACCAGGCAGAAGTTGTACTCATACACAGCACAGACATCAAAGTAAACAGGACAGGCTCATGGGCATTCATTCTTTCTGGCCCCAGAAGATATAGGGGTTCACAGAGGTGTGGCCAGAAAGGAGAGCTGCACATTGACTGACTCAAAGTAAGCTAGGTGAGAACAAGGGCAAGTTCTTCTTAGTTACCAGGGCTTTAACTAGCCCAGCATCATCTTTGCCTTATACTAGGGAGCTTTTGGGTAGCTCCTGGACAGTGGTAGAAGTCCTGGGTTTCCATACCTGAGAGTTCTGATGCCCAGGGTTGACAGTCATTATTTCTTTCTTAATCCACCTTTGGCACCCCGGAGAACATATTCCACATAAACCCAGGCCTTAAGACCCTGTCTTGCTTGGGTCTACTTAACTCTAGATGATGTCCTGACCTCATTTCAGCAGATCAGAAGCAACTGTGGTTCCAGGCACAACCCTCACTGTAGGCCTAGTCTGGGACCTATTAATGCTCTGGGTGCTTTTGGTCCCAAGAAGAGTAAGGACCAGGCCTGGACCTTATGCAGAAAGGAGGAATGAGGACCCCAGTAAGAGACCCTCTCCGGCTTATCTTCTGGATTACAAATGCCCAAGCAACACACAAGATCAGTGCCACCCCATGCCACCCACTGGCTCTTGGCCTTAAATCCAACGGAATTTTTGCTGGAAGAGTTGGATGCTCAGGGAAGGGCAAGGTGAGGACAAGATTTCCAGGGGACAGTGGCAGAACTTCCAACCCTAAGTGGGGTTGAGGGATAGTGACCACTGAGCATGGGGAGCAAAGCACATGGGGCCAGACTGATAGATGGGGGAGTCCAAGTCTAGCTCCGTTAGCACAAGCGCTTGTATGTGTAGATGTAGGCTTTGCAGCTGGGACACGTGTGCGTCACATCCTTGAAGTCGTTGATGAGGCAGGGGATCAAGCAGCAGCCCAGATCACATCTGAATTGAAAACAGAGACAGGCTGAGGCCTGAAGACAAGGTCAGGCAGCATACAGAGCCCCAGTAGCACCACCTCTTGTCATCACCCCATACCTACCCCATGAAGCAGCAGAAGAAACCCAGTACAAAGTTCATCAGGCCAATCTCATAGGAGATCTTGGTGGTGATTGCCTGCTGGCAGTGGGGGCACACTGTCTGCACAGGTGCACCTTCAAAGATCTCTCCCTGTAGCACTGTCACCGTGGTAGCTGCCCCTGATGGGACCAAGACTGTGGCCGTGTGGCCCCCAGGACCAGGATAGGGCCCTGGTGGGTAGGGTCCTGGTGGATAATAGCCCATAGGTGGGTGAGGGCCTGGAGGAGGGTAGAAACCTGGAACAACACACAGAGAGGTCGCTGGCTGGCTGACTGGCTGGCTGAGAGAACATAAAACACATGATCCTAGCAGTTAGGGCATAGCCTCCTGCCACCTTCCAAGAGGGTCAAAGTGTCAGTGGGAACAGACCTTCGCTCAAGGTGACCATTTATAATGACCCAGGTCTTTAGATCTCTGTCACATTGAGACCAAGACAGATATGGCAGAGATGGGAGCATAGTCCATCTCTCCTTAACTTCCTTGCCTCTGTCATGCCAAGACTGTTCCTCCATGCCTGCAAGGGTGAGGGCTTCAGCAACAAGAGGGAAAGCATCATACCTCTCCTGTATACAAAGTTTTTGCATGTCAATGTCTAATATACCAAAGACCACCCAACTCAACCCCAGAAACTAGAGGAACCACAGACTCTGGGCCTGAAGCTATTGGTGAGCAAAGGCCCAGGCCTCCATTGGGGGCTTAGGTCCCTACAGGGAAAAGCCCCACCACACCACAGGCCTCAGCATGAACCACTGTAACTCGTGTAACCACTTGTCCCTCAGTGGGGGACAAGCTCCTCCTTTGCCACCATTTTCATTTCATATGGCATGACTGATGCCTTCCCACAGTGAATTTGAGGTGGCAGCTGCCTCTGCTTCCTTCACGTTTCTTCCCAACTCACCTGCAGGCATGTAGGCTCCATCTGCATTCATGTGAGGGGGTACAAAGCCAGGCTGAGGCATTGGATGACCCGGTGGCTCATAAGGTGGGGGAGCAATGTCAGCTGAGGGCAGTGGCATGCCTGGTGGCGGCTGCATCACCGCTGGGGAGGTACGGCCTGGACAGAGAGGGGCAGAAAGGCGGCGGCTAAGCTGGTCTCTACACACAGGCTAGGCACAGGGTGACCCTGAAGCAGCATTAGTTCACTGTGAAAAGCCTCAACCACACTTGGAATGGAGAGGGAGTTGCAACAGGGTCACCAGAAGGCTGAGTCAGGAAAGACCCTCAGGACAATAGCTAATGACATAAGGAACTAGCCCTAGCAATCCCATCTGGGAACCTTACCCAGATCTCGGACATCCTTACCTGGAGTAGGTGGGGCTCCACTTTTTTCCTCTAGTAGTGGGGCTGTAGGGCCTCCAGGATAAGGAGGGGGTGGCTCGTTAGACATCTTTGCTGCTGCTGATACTCCTGGACCTGGGGGGGGATAAATTCAGCTCCTTGTTTCTATGCAGGGCCAACACACTAGGTTGTGACCATCTTCAGATGCCCACCAAGCCCAAGCACCTCAGTGTTTTCTCTGGCTCCTCTCAGGGATTCTCTGTTTAAGCTCAGGTACCTGAGTTCTACCACCTTTTACTTTCCTCAAAAGGAAATCTAAGTGTGTGGAAGATCAGGGTTGGTGGCTAGGTTCAGTGACCTTGGGAGCATCAGTGACCACTGGGTTCCCTCTGACACTTGGGATCTCTATCTCTGCCAGGGACAACCCACCTTTACACTTTCTTTAGAAGCTGGAGAGTAAGGATAGAACTCTAAGGACAAGTCCCAGCAATCATCTCTGGGAACCTCTACCCAGGGAAGCTTGGCACCCAGTCTTCCAACTCTTAACTGAGCCACAGAGGAGTGGACTTCTACCACAGGCTGCTGTAGCAGGGTTTGGAAAGGGCTCTGGATTTCTTACCTCAGATTCTTGGTGCACAGAGAAAGCAAGCAGGTGGAGTAATTCAGCTACTGGCTGAGACAGGGATCCAGGAGGCTATTTTAGGGGAAGAGGAAGCAACATCTTTAACCAGAGGCTTCCAGGTGAGCTACTCACCATGCTTACTCACAGCTTTAACCACTCCACTCCCCACCCTCCCCCCCCCAAGTGGCACAGCTGCTGGATCCTGGGTGCCCACCATTCTCAATCCCCAGATCCAGTTCCCATGCTTGAAAGAATGCAAAAGGAGTCAGCTGTGGGTTGGTGTCTGGCACTGACTTATCCCCTTCTGTTTTGCTTGGAAGGTATGAAAAGTTAAGAGTCAGGCAAGAGAAACACTGTTTTATCCCATCAAATGTCCTGAGTACTTGCTGCAAGGCACTGGTGGAGAAGCAGATGCCCTTACAGTATGTCCAAGCGCACAGACAAATGTACCAAGTTTGCCAAGGGTGAGGGATCCTGGGACTCATGATTCTTTTTGGTCCTAACTCTTCAACTTCTTTTTTTTTTTTAACCCCTTTGAAATAGTCTCACTGTGTAGTTCAGTCTGGCCTCCAATTCTGCATCCTACTGCCTTAGTTTCCCAAATGCTGCTATTATAGGCATGCACCAGGACACCTTGCTTTCTAAATTTAACAAATCGGTGGTAGGGGCAGAGAGGTCAGATTCAAGCTTTGGGTTCAATTTCAGTATTGACAAGTTTGAGAATCTCTACTTGTGACCAATGCAGCCTAACACCCCCATGCCTTCTGCAGGAGGTCACTCAGGCAACCTGAGTATAGGGTTCTTTGTCTGCACCACACTGCAGCTTCAGCCCACACCTTTCCACAGGCAGACCCATGGCTGAGCTTCCATCTATTACTCTGGGTTATATATAGAGCCACTCTTCTGAAAAGCCACCTCACATCTCAGTCCCAACCTACAGATAATGTCTGAGTCTGAAGTACCATGTGCATTTCATTCAGTTGCTTTGGGGGCTACTTTTTCAAAGTAGCAATCATAGGATGGAAACCTGATGGGCATCTCAGCAATACAGCCCTACCTGGCTTCCCCTCGCCCTGCTGAAATTCTACCAGGGAGTTGCAACTCTACCTTTATTTGGCCACACTCACCCACCAGACTGAGCTCTTGCTTCTCTGAAGGACTTCCAAATGGGAGTTTTCACAGGAGCAAGGATGGAACTGACATTCTGGGGTGCCTACCAAAACTTAGGAGACTCTACTAAGAGCCATGAACTAAAGCAAACTGCTTTACTCCCGACTCCCATCCCAGGCCATATGGAATGTGACTCAGCTCCAAGGAGAAACATCTACAGTCTTGTAACATGGGGTCAGCAGAGCACCAGAACTCCATCTCATCTCCCATTCAGAGGAGAGGGTTGGCTTGTATCAGGCTAACAGAGTGGACAATAAAGAGATCTGGAATCAGACAAACCTGGCCTCAAGTCCAGGGTCTTAGCATGTCAGTCTCTCCACCTTCCTGTATGAGAAAACCCCTGTCCCAGGCACACATACAACCTAATCTCTAGTACATCCCATGGGGGAGGGGGTCCTGCTGAGGGGTTGAAAGTGTTCTGCAGTTACATCACAGTGATAGTTGTACAGCTCGGTCAGTATATCAAAAGCACCAAACATAATAAGTAGTGGGGAATTATGCTTACAAATAAATTGTTAGGCAATTTCATGTAGTACAAATGTCACAGACTATAGAAACTAAGATGGCTGTGACAACACTTAATCTTATGGGACCCTTGTACATGCAATCCAACCTTCACCAAAACATTGTTATGTAGCACATGGCTGTACTCTGAAAGAACACAATCCCAAAACAGGCCCCTGAAGGACAGTATTGTCTGGTATGATGGCTAATTTTGTCAACCTGGCACACCTGGGAAGCAAGAACCTCAAAGAACTGCCTCTGTAAAGGTGGCCTATGGGTATGTCTGTGGGGCATTTTCTTGCTTGCTAATTAATTCATGAAGGAGTGCCCAGTCCACTGAAGGCAGTATTAACCCTAGGCAGGTGGACCTGGGCTATGTAAGAAAAGTAGCTGTGAGTCTGGCAGCAAGCCAGTAGTGTTTTCTTTAGGTTCCTCCTTGCACGCCTGTCCTGGTTTCCCTTGGTGGTGATAGACTGTAACCTGGAAGCTTTAAGCTAAAACAAACCCCTTCCTCTCCAAGTTGCTTTTGGTAATGGTGTTTTATCACAAGAACAAATAAAGCAAACTAAGACACTTGGGATGGAAAGGAAGAGAGATGGGGACTGGACTCCTCCTGGTATGCTAAATACAGTTGTTCTTCTCTGGGTCTCTTGCTTCCCAGAGAGGAGTCCCAAGCACAAGGCCTCAGGGCCCTGAGAACTGCCCCAGGCATTCTACTTGACTCTCAACTATTCATTCTACAGTGCAACTGATCTAAGGCCAAGGCAGAGCCTGGCAGCCTGCCACTGATAAAGGGCCCCTTGGAGGGGAGTGACAGCAGGGTGCATATCTCCTAGCCACAGCCAATGGCTGTAGGGTCTTAGAGTCAGCTTAATTCTCTGGTTGAAACTGTCCTACACACTGCAACTGAGGGTAACCAGCATATCCCATGGCCTTTTCTGTTCCCCAGAGTGCCAGGCAGCAGGCATACTACCAAGTCCCAGTGTGGCAAAGCTCAGGAGAGAGGAAAGGGGAATTTTGAATCTTGAGACATGGGGCAACCAGCCTGGCCAGCTCTGTGCACAAGCTCTCACGGGGCTGAAGATGAGGGGATGAGGCAAAGGTGACGGAGGACAAGGCTTAGAGGGACTCTCTGACATGACTTTTTCTAGGTCTACACACCAATGGTTCTCCAAACTTTTTGTTCTGTGGACTTATTTTTTATCCTCCTTGTGGACTTCTTTACACCTGATTATTGAGCACTTCAAATGGACTTATATACAGACTTATCAGTACCATATTAGAAATCTCTCTTAAATACTTAAAAACAAAAAAATGAAGAATTAAAAAAATAGATGAAGGCTAAGAATATAGCTCAGTGGGAGAGCAACTTCCTTGCATATGCAAGGTCCTAGGTTCAATCCCCAACACCAGAAAGATTGAAGTGTCATGAAACTATCAAGTTCACAAGTGGCAGATTAAGTTTTCAAAACTCCAATTAATATTTACCAATAGATCACCAATAGATTTTAAAAGTGGCAAATCAATTACAGATTTAGGTGGGAATGGTGGTGCTAGGCATTGTGAGGCTGAGGTAGGAAGACTGGTAAGCTTGAAGCCAAACTGAGCTACAGAGTGAGACAATGCCTCAACAAGTTCAAACCAGGGGCTGGAGAGATGGCTTAGCAACTAAGAACACTTGTTGCTCCTACCCAGGTTCAGTTCTCAGTATTCACATGGCAGCTCACAACCACCCAGTTCTAAGGAATCCAACGCTCTCTTATAACCTCCACAGGTAACAAGGCACATGTCTGTCTGTCTGTCTGTCTGTCTGTCTGTCTGTCTGTCTGTCTCTCTCTCTCTCTCTCTCTCTCTCTCTCTCACACACACACACACACACACACACACACACACACACACACTCTCAATACTGTACTCACATACTAAGAATTAACAAAGGTGTGCTTGCTGTGGCAGCACAGATACTAAAATTCAGATGATCGAGTGATAGCAGGATCTCCTGCACAGGATGACAGGTAAATTCAAGACACTGCTGTAGGTTTTTTCCTTGTTACTATTGAGCTGTTTATTAGTTATATTTAGTTTAATAACCATTTTCTTATGAGGAAGCTTTATGTAAAGCTATTGGAAAAGGTTTAACCATACTCATTTTGGTAAGTTCTTGTTGCTATTAATTTTTTAAAACTTTTAGTGTTTACATGCACATACCATGGCATGTGTGTGGAGGGCTGAGGACAGCTCTGGAGTCAGTTGTCTCAATTCACCTTTCTGTGGCGGTCATCAGGTTTGCGTGCTAAGCATCTTACCCACAGAGCCATCTCATTGGTAACCATTGACTTTTGACTAATAAAAACCTATCTTTAACCAGGCAGTGATGGCACACGCCTTTAATCTCAGCACTTGGGAGGTAGAGGCAGGGACAGGTGGATCTCTGTGAGTTTGGTGTGAGTGTGAGGCCAGCCTGGTCTACAGAGCAAGTTCCAGGACAGCCAAGGCTAAATAGAGAAACATTGTCTGGAAAAACCATAAATAAATAAATAAATAGAGAGAGGGAAAGGGAGAGAGGGAGGGAGAGAGGGAGGAAGGGAAGGAGGGAGAGAGGGAGGGAGGGAGGGAGGGAGAAAGGAAGGAAATAAATAGTAAGAACAGTTTTTGCTACCTTTCCTTATGGGGCACCAGCCTGTATGTGCATGCTGTGTGTAGTGGTAAAGGCTAGTGCAGCTCAGTGCCCCTGCCTTGATCCAACTGGGGCTCCAATGCTTTCTTCCAATCTGATTCTGAGCCACCCATGCAAATGCCAATACAATGCAGAGTCAAGGTAACTAATACTGTCTTTGCTCTACTAAGAAGGTAGTCTGACCTCCAGCTGAGACCTCAGGAAACTCTCCCCCAGGCTGCAGAAGACACCACTGGAGTGGAGAGACCCCACTAGACTGAAAGCAATACTAAATGTCTAAAGGCAGGGTCAATTTTCCACTGTCAAAGATACCTCGAGTCTTAGGTATCTCCAGGGAGAGCAGAGCCTGTTATTGTTCAACCTGGACTGCACCTCAGGGAGGCACCTGCTGCTGCACAAGCTTTTTAAATTAAGCAAGCAGTTGGGACATGGGCTCTGCATCAACCTTACTAAATCCAGCTCTCCATTTCTGACTTTGACATCAAAGCCTTGGTTTACTCATTTGCCTTCCTCTCATAATGGAAGAAAGGTTACCAGAGGGGGTCCAAAATGTCCTCTGCTGGAGGGCAGGACTTGGCCCACAAGAACATTGAATAAAAAGAAACAGTTACTTTATTACTCACCAGGGACTAATGCCTCTATCCTGGACTGGTCTGATCCCTGATCATGCTACATGTGACCACCTGCAACCACTTTATTCGGAGACATTGTAGCAAGACCC